GCATATAGAATTAGTGTCTAGCTCTGTCGCGGTCCCGTCTTCGATCCCGATCTCTGTCTCTGTCTCTGTCCCTGTCGTCTCTTCTATGTCGATCTTTATCTCTATCTTTATCCTTATGTGACGAGGAATGACTTTTCGGTGATTTACTTCGCTTCCGTTCACGTCTGTCTCTGTCTCTATCTCTGCTTCGTGATCGCTGTTTTTCTCTGTCAGATTTTTTGTCTGATCGTGAATGTCTCTTGTCCCTGTCTCTATGTCTGTCTCTTTCTCTGTCGTGATCATCTGTTCTCTTTCGTGTGTCTTCTTTGATAGGTGGAATATCTTCGTCCTCTGAGGTTTCTATACCTTCATCCATATCATCCTCTAGTGCTGACACTTTCGCTTCTGTAAAAATATTTTGATAACCATTCGTTCAAGTATAGTAACAAGTTCTATATAAAAGTTTAGTTACCTAATTCATTATTTTCTTCTAAAACATGCCTCTTCTGTATCCTCGGTAAAATAACATCACAAGACCTCTCTTCTCTTAATAGTTCGTCTATGAATTCATCCATATGAATCAATTCAAATTTACCTTGCTTATTCTGTTTCCTTAGCTTTCTGTTGTCATTAAATAATGGTTCCAAGTATTTATAACAATCCAGGGATGAGCCTGTTAATCTCATATATAATGCTCCTAGCGCACGAACATATTTGAACTCTTCATTTTTTATAAATTCTACTATAATGTCTTTCTCTGGTTGGATTTGTAACATTTTCAGTATGAGACAAAGGAATGGCGTTGGTTTCACATTTCCACCAAATACACCACCTATAAACCTAAAGTAAAGCATGATTTTTAATTTACACGGAAGCAGGCATGTTTGTTTACATTAATGGGAAGCTACATTTTATCAATTATTAATTATTTATATACATCTAGTCGATTCTTATCTACAGTATACCTAAGAGAAAAGCAAGAAAATAAAATAATATGCAAGTGAACATAATTATACGGTTCAGAACGAAAAATTCAATGAAAACATTAACTAACCTCAATTCCATAGCTTTGTCTACTAAAAGTTCTGCAGTTAAGGCGAAACATTCTTCCTTCCAATATTTTGAATCGTACACCCGAGATCTAATGATTTTCTCCACTAAATACTGAGGATTCGTACCTCGAATCGATTTCGCATCTTTCACAGTTCTATTTGCCATTTTTTCTCACTTTAAGGTTAAAAGTCTGTTTTGAAACTTGCTCGAAAAACATGGATAGATGACACGATACTGGTATTCTGTAAATTAGAAAAATATGATTGGTGGTGACATCTAATCAGAGGAACGGTGCACTATTAAGAAACTTGGATATTTTGCCGTAGATGGCGCTAAATGTAGATTCCAACAAATGATCACTTACAAATAAATTAACTCAGTAACGACTCGACTTTCAAAATTGTAGAAATCGGAGCAAGGAAAGTCGCACGTTTATGCTTGAATATAAAGGTACACGTAGCAACATCTTAACGATAAAATTATACTAATGGCCAATAAAGCTTAAAAACTATCTCTTTCCACGTCGTCGTTGACATTTCAGTTAAATCGCGGTCTATCTCTGAATCCCAATGAAATTGATGAAACTCTCTCAACTGTACGGTTCAACGGATCGCGATAAAGGCGTGCAGCCAGCATTGTCAACGCGTCACCATAAAAGTATGCAGAACGCTGTACCGCCCAAAGAACAGGTTGCAGAGAGTCTGTGCGACTGGTGGATTTTGAAGCGGATAAATAAACAGCTGAGTGGTCAAATAGGTCAACTGCACTTTTCGAATTTTTAAAATTTTATCATTCAACTGTTCGATTGACTTTGAATATTTTATAGTTGAAATAGGTTTCATTATTATGCTGGGTTTAGTACCAAGAAATAACAATTCTATAATGGTTATTTAATTTTAAATTTTAGGGGAGTTTGGAAATAACAATTCTATGTTTATTTAATTTTATATTTAAGGGGAATTTGGAAAGCCACTGTGAATACAGAATTGCGTCATTTCTCTTTACGTTTCGTTTTGGAGTTAACTGATTCGGCAAATAAGTGGCTCAACTGGACAGTATAAAATGTTTCCTGGTTATTTATTACCACATAGACTGCGGAACTTCATGGGAATTACAGATGTTACGATTTCAGTTTTACTATTTCCGCCTTCCACTAATAAACCAGTAGCCTCCGCCGTTCGAACCCATCAGAAACTTTCTTCTTCCGTCACATCTAGTTCTTCTCATGATTTCCGTCGATGTACAGTTCGTTACATCACATGTAAACGTTAGTGTATTGTTAGCTGGTCACTGGAAATGCAGATAATCATGCAAAGTTTTATTTTCACGGTTCGTTCGAGCGAAACCGGTTACATGGAAAAACAACTGCTCAAAGTTGACGTTACCACGACAGCGGTCATATTGTTTTTGATAAAAGATACGTCCAGTCGTCAATGTTCGGACAAAATACGCAAAGTATCAAAATATTAACAATTCCAGTGAAGACAGTAAGTGGCAGAAATCAAATTTTTCAGGGGAACGTAATAAGTTATTTCATTCGATACTAGTTATAAAATTGGATTTTCTTTTTGTCGCTAAACGCGACTAACAATGCAATGACTCGAAGTATAGCACAGTATTTTCTTTAAATAACAAATACCGAATTCTATATTCTATAATAATCCCGAATTATTATTATTATTACTATAACTATACAGGACAATTACCATTAGAATTATCAACTACTACAACTATACAAGACGATTACAATTTCTCGCGATATTAGGCATTTCCTCAATTATTGAAGATTATCAGTTATAATCCTTAATTATTATTATTATTACTACAACTATACGAGACAATTACCATTACAACTACCAACTACTACAACCATACAAAACAATTACAATTCTCCATGAAATTAAACATTTCCTCAATTATTAAGGACTGTCAATCATAATCCTCAATTATTCTCATTACTACAACTATACGGGACAATTACCATTGCAACTACCAACTACTGCAACCATACAAAAAAATTACAATTTCTCACAGAATCAAACATTTCATTGCTACCAAAAAAACCAGCGTATCTCCATTTACCGTTCGAGTGCCACGGGTCTTTGCAAAAACCCGGTCGAAAAGCGCCAAGCGGCGCGATCGAGCTTCTGTCGCTTCAATTTAGAAACCTATTTACGCTTTCCTATTTTTACATGGAAAGACTGTAAGTAGCGCGACCGTTCCGTTTACCATTTCCAAGCGGGTAACAACAAAAATGAATAATTAAAAGGAAGAGAAACAAGTAAAGCCAATTCGATTCTACGAGCGGATCGAGCGACACATTTAGACAGTGCAACGTAAAAGCGCGATCGCGCCGTTTACAAAACGCTGCAGACTTTCGGCCAGCAAAACGGTTGCCCACTGCGCGACGTCCCCACCGGCCTATCGCGTTCGCGCCGCCTTTCTCTCGGGCCCCGTAAGAGGCCCCATTCACAGTCCCCGTCTCTTTCTTCCGTGCGCCCCCAGGCTTCTCGCGGCTGCTCGGCTCACCTGGACAGCCATCTTGAGGTGTGTTGTAGTGGTACGCGCAGCGACGATCGCGGTTCGCGTCCTCTTTAAGACGTTATTTCCCATTCGGCCCGTGGTGATCAGCCGCGTCGACTCGCGCCGCGATGCAACCCGATGCAACAACCGATTGAAACGATTCCGTCGAGGCTGGTCCAGCTTCTTCCCGACTTAGTCCCCCGCTGAGTGTCACCCGCGAGTCTGTGATCGGTGGACCTGGTGCGTCGATGGTTACCATAGTGTCTTGAAGAGGATCGATCAGCAAAACGAAGAAGGTACGCCCGGACTGAACGCTTCAGGGATTTCTAAACGATCTTGAATATCGTGCACGAGCAGTGTTTCGGTACGCACGGTACAGTTGCGACTTGGTGTCTAGAATGGCAGGGACGAAGAGGTGTCCTATTAGTCCAGAGTTTCGATCGGTTCACATCGACGGTAAATCAGTGATCGAAGATAGAAATTAGGAAACAATCAAATTGGATACGAATAAATACTGATCGATCGGTAGGATTTCTTAACACTAGAACCACCGAACGGTCAAGTTGACTTTTCGAAATTTTTCTGCAGAAACTCCGTCAGTGGTACTATTGAAATTTCTGTCGATTTGTAATTCAGTTTGTCTATCGCTGAATCAATTTTTACAGTAACTTCTACGTGAGTTATCTGTTATCTTTGTGATAATTGTAAAAGGGAATTAGGAATGGGTTATTTTGATTTCTCTGGTAGTTTCTGTGTTCACCTAGTCGTTAAGTCATCTCACTATTGGCAGAGTGATCGAATCAGTGATCGGAGATAGAAATTAGGAAACAATCAAATTGCGAACAAATAAATACTGATCGATCAGCAGAATTCCTCGGTCGAGTCGTTGACTCATCTCGCTGTTGGGAGATGACTTGGTGTCTAGCGGAACGACACAGAGGCGAGAGGTGTCTTTCGTCGAGTGTTTTGTTTACGGTTCCGGTTGCTTGCGTGTAACCGACGAACAACAAATCGGCGATTGAAAATGTCAAGAGTTAAGGAATAAGACCGATAGGATAATAGGCAGAAAGAATGAAAACTGACCAGTGAGAACCGCATTCCTCGGCGTCAAGTCAGCTCACAGCATTACATAGAATATTCATTTTCATAACTTAACGCTAGAACTACCAAGCAGTTAAACTGTATTTTTGAAATTGTTCTGTAGAAACCTCAACAATGTAACTACTGAGACTTCAATTGGTTTGCAATTCAGTTCGTGTATCGCTAAACCAGTTTCTCTAGTACTTTTTCAGAGAAGCATTATCTGTCGAAAAACTGGAGAAAATGAAATTCGGTGGTTCTAGTGTTAAACCATTAAAGAATTAAAAATAAATGACTCATGTGTTGCTAATTCTGTGTCTCCGAAATGTCAACATTCGTCCTCGGAGTATTAATAAACAATGTCCCGAAGACGTCCAATCAGCACGTGATAAGCAACTATCCAAGAATCCAGTTTATAATGATTGTATATCTATCTTGCTCGATGCATTAATTATTCTAACACGATAGATGAACGATAATATTCACCCTTTTTCGTAGTTAAACGAGTAAACGATGATTATGTTTGTTTTAATACGGTCGTTCTATTAACATATAATCGCGTTCCGATCTTCCTTGCATCGAGCCACGAAACTGAACGAACCGATCGACGGCGAACGTGCCGATGTAAATGTCACAGGCCTCGCTGGCATCGTTTTTAAACGTGAGAACCGAACGCCCCTTCGTCGGTGATCACGATCGTGCCGGAAGTCCCAGAGATTCGCGATACGAAGAAAGGGAAAGGATTTTTCCCTTCGATACCACGCGGAAACTATTCTTTGCAGTTAGAATTAGCTTCAGGGATCCTCGGATGTCGATGTCGAAATCAACATCCGTGGATTTTGCCACGAAATTCGGTCACACCTTCCCCAATCAGTCTTTCTAATCGATTTCTCTAATTTATTGTTAACCCTTTCCACTCGAGAGGTGACTCTCAGTCAGAAAACTATCAAGCAAAACTACGAAGTTGAATATATAGTGTTTTAAATGAAACTTCGTATTTCTATAGGAAATATTGAAGTAAAATAGCTTTGTCGCTCAATTTGTCTGAGAATTATCGTTAAATTAGCTTCGAACAATGTCGCCTATGTCTCGTAGAGAAATGTTAAATATTTCCATGGAGAAACTTTCGAGTAAAGGGTTAATTATCGAAGAATTTTGGAATTGCTGGAACTGTTGAAGTGACAGTAGAATATTGTGGTTTCTGTGAATAGAATGGGGTCGAAGATAGAGTACGTGGAGTCCTCCCATATGTACGCGACGAATTACATTCGCAATTCGAAGGCTATCGGTGTCTTATGGGGTATCTTCACCATATGTTACGCCATTATCGGTGTCGTCGCGTTCGTTACGCCGGAGTGGCTCGGCGACTTGGAGCACGAGAATCCTGGGAGGTTTGGTCTGTGGACCAGATGCAGCTACGGTGGAAATGGTAAAGATTCTCTCAATTATTATGTTTATAGTATATTTCTTATTAATTATTTATTATGAATCAAGAGATTCTCAGTATATACATCATTTATTTATATCGTGCCATACCAATTTTTCGAGTAGACTTCAACAGTTCTAAATGTCATTCGATTGTACTCTGTTCGAATTAACACTAGAACTATCGTACCAGTTAAAATTTATAATATATTTTGCATTAATTACTTATTACGAATCAAGAGATTCTCAGTATATACATTATTTATTTCTTTATTATCTATTTATATTGTATCATAGCAATATTTCAAGTAGACTTCAACAGTTCTAAATGTCATTTGATTGTTCTGTATTCAAATTAACACTGGAAGTACCATACCAGTAAAAATGACTGGTTTGAATTCGTTTGTTTCGGAGTATTGATATCTTTAAAGCATTGAATATCCGTAATAATCTTGAAAATAAATAGTTCCACTTGAATACTATAATGAATGCCCGAAGAACATACATATAATCATATTAAACGCTCGGTAGTTCTAGTGTTAAATATTACTTTTCTCTTGTCAACCGTTGATCCTCGTGTTAAACATAGTTTTTCCTTGTTCTCGCTTGTCTCTTCTCCTAAAAAAGTACGTGTCCGTTTCTCAGGTGAGCTGGGCGAGGAATGCATCGGCAGATTGGACGACCTGTCGACGATCGTGAACGTTCCATTCAGGGCGAGCACGATTCTGGTGGGCGTCGCAGTGATAATAGCATTACTGACGATTTGCGCGATGCTTCTATTCTTCTTCTGCCAAAGCACGACCGTGTTCTACCTCTGCGCCTGGATGCAGGTCGTGTCAGGTAATAATTGTCACCCTGCTTCACCCTTTTTCGCTTTCGACCCTAAGCGGACCGAACGGTTTTTCCTCGAAAAAAACAATCATTCGTTGTTTCCAACAATACGAAACCACCACAGTAGAACCTTCATTATCCTATCGGATTGATTAATTACCGGTTCAGATGAACAGACACTTGAAAAGGAAAACAATAGGTACAATTCAATCATTCGGAAATAACGAGCTATAATCCAAGTAACATTGGAAACAAATGATCACGCTGCCAAAGGAAATTTACCCTCGAGATCCGGTCTGTCCGAGGTTAATCCGTTCCCAACCGGATTAGTTCTACCTACTACAAGCGGATTAGCCCATTGTATTCTAATTAAACCACAACAGAATTAAAATAAAAATTCCTTTTATTAGATAACGAGTCCCTTCTCGAGATACATGAGAATTAGAATTATAGTTAATTTGCGCTCGACAGGCGACTCTCAGTCATCATTTGATTTACAACGAAATTACAAAGCGTTGTATATAATATTAAGTTCTGTATAACGCGTCAGTACGTGGGATGTTTATATAAAATAGCTTTGTTCCTTAATTCACGTGTTTTCTCGTTAGTTCGTTTGTCTATGTATTTAGTGTCGTCTATGTCTCATCGGAAAGTGTCGAATGTGTCCAGTGAAAAGCTTCCGAGTGCAAAGGGTTAACATTATCCGAAGAACTACAGAATTCTAGTCGATATACATGTTTTTAGTTTGAAGTTCCGTGATCGGCGACTACTAGAGTTAAACATTGAAACCAGAAACAGGTGTAATTGAATAGACAAATTGTGCTGGACGATCAGAGCACATGAGTTAATCTCGCGAGGAAACGTTTACCGACGTCAAAGAAATGCCGTTGATGAATCCAGTACAGCGTTATCTTTTTATTGCGCGTGAAAGTGATCACGCCGCGCGGCGCGTCATCCGTGACGGGTTCGGTTAACGCGATGACCGCCACGGTCATCGATGACCGGAGCGTCCAAATTACTTGAAAACAATTGCAAGAAGAAAATCGATGCTGTATCAAAATATATAGTTACGTAGGTAGCTGAATAATAGTAGAACTTAACACTAGAACTGCCAAGCGATTAAACCGACTTTCCCAAATCTCTATATAAAACTTATATTTTCTAACTTATATTACTTCATAACGTATAACTTACATATTTTAACTCATCTTACTTTATATTTCAGTGTAGATATCACTAAATCGGCTTCTTCAACGATTTCTCAGAGAAGCATTTGTAACTTCTCGGTAATTGTATAAAAGGAAACCAGGAATGGGTCATTTTGAACCATCCGGTAGGTCTAGTGTTAACTATGATACCAAATCATTAATAACTAAATCTAATACCATTTGACGATGAGACCGACATACGAAATCATCGCGGCGCAATCGTTTTCGTTTCCCATGGCGCCCGCGACAACGTAACGGGAAAGGGTTAAATTATTTCATTGAACTGCGTTATCATCAAGTTTGTCTCGCTGTCATTAGGTAGCGTTCATTATAACACAGGAATCTTTCCAAATAATCATCGTTTAATTCCGAGATGTTCAGTAACAGAATTTCGCCGGTGTGCTGGCAGGATAAGTAATGTCGTACGAAACATTCTAAATTCCCATAGCGGTGAACGTGTTAACCGACGATGAGACCGACATACGAAATCATCGAGGCGCAGTCGTTTTCGTTTCCCATGGCGCCCACGACAACGCAACGGGAAAGAAACGCACGGACACGCGATTCAACGTGATCGCTCGGGGTTGCGTAAACCGGCGCGCCAAAGGCAGGGGCAAAAATTCACGGTGACGCTTGTCGAGCACCGTTTTAGAAAGTGTAACGCGCGCCGCCCGTTCGCCCCGCTGCGCCGGCCGGCCGGCCGGCCGTCGTTGCGGTAATTTTCGCGTAATGCCTTATCAGCGCGCGGTGCAGCTGAAAATTGCAGCGATGCACCGCCCGGCCCGGTGCCAACGGGTCAGGAAGTGACGCAATCGTGTGCACGCTCTCGTTGCGACAGACCGCCCATTGTTGACTACCACGCGTACGAGTCCGATCCTCAGAGACACCGTTAACCCCTTAACTCGATCGCTGCCGGAGAAAACAGTGGAGCTACCAGTTAGAACGACTGGTTTCCTTGTTTCGCAATTATCGACGCCTTTGACACGTGAAACGCCATGTCGGTCACCGATCACTGACGCTTCCGAATTGAGAACAATCATAGGATAATCGATGTGGAATCAAAATGTTTAACGTTGAGTGCACGGTTTCATAGAGGAAAGTATGCAAAATGAAAATAATCAAAGTATGTTATTGGGTTATTATTATTGGGTTTATCTTGTCGAATGACGGTACATTAGGTAGTATTACTAGTACAGAAAAGTTTCCAAATAATCGTTTAATTGAGTAAGTTATAGTAATTTTAATTGAGCGTTAATAGCGTGACTGAGTTGATAATTTTTGCTAAAAAGAATAACTGTACAAATAGTCGAGATCCTCGTGAGTAGTTTACACTGTCTACCATTTGACGGCTGAACTCTCAGAATTGATGGAAATATTGAAATGATCGACAAGTAAATCAATGTTTAACTATATAGTAACGTTCTCTAATTGTCAGAGCATTTGAAATGATAGAATAAGTATATATTTATCCATCGAACGCTAGGGGCCTGTTTAGGGTTACTTCCGGCGGAGAGTATTCATCATGGTGATGATGATGAGTCGATAATATTCAATATCATCGAGGAACGGTACACCGGCGGCCGAGCGACCAAAGCGGCTACTGTCGTTTGTAAAGTATGCCCGCGTGTACCGTTGACCCAGTTGACGAACACTGACACGCTCGATTCGTCCTGCAACAAGTTACGTGCGCAACGTTCGCGCTCCGCTGAACAGACGGTTTCATGATTTCCTGGATGATGGGGAATCAAGTGGCTCACACGCTGTGACGGGTGCGACTGTTCGCCAGCCTTCTAATCGTCGGCTCACGGGCTCGCACAAGTTCCGTTAACCCTTCGCGATCGGCACATTTTTCTCGCGACCGTATCAACTAGTTGATTTTAAAATGTTTTTTTCTATAGGCGGACACTTCAGGCAAGTGAAAAGTAACTCTTCGAGTTCTTCGAATTTCTAGAGAATAAACTGCAAATTTCGGGATATTCGAATCTATCCAATTTCAGCTACTTTGCTGAAGGTGTCATGGAGGTTCTTATAGGTTTCCGAGATCCAAGCTACGAAATCTTACGAATTTCTGATATTTCATCGACAGGAATCTTTAGTATTCAACTGTGAGTCTAAGTGAACTTTCGAATTTTTAGATAATAAATTATTCGTTTTTAGATACGATGATCAATTTCAGATACTTCGCTAAAACTCTTCAAGCTTTTGGAGATCCGAGCTTCCAAATGGTCCAATTTCTTAAGCTTCCAGATAAGAAATTACTAACTTTATAGTCTCCAAGTCTATCGAATTAGAGCTACTTTGCTAAATGTCTTTTGGAGATCTGAGCTACCAAATGTTCCAATTTCTTAAGCTTCCAGATAAGAAATTACTAACTTTAGAATCCCCAAGACTATCGAATTAGAGCTACTTTGCTAAATATCTCCTAGAGGTCTTCGCAAAGATCCAAGCTAGCAAATCATACGAATTCCCTATGTTTTATTAAAAGTCCACAGCAATATTCATTTTCCCATCTATCTCCATCAACTCAGAACGCGACGCGATGTTGTAAAATCATTCTGATCGCGAATTAAAGGAGAAAAGTAAACGGACAGCGGGTTTTACGTAAGAACGGCTGTGATCGCGGCCGTGATGAAAGTTGGGAGGCCCATCGGTCGTCGATCGTGGCTCGTTCGTACGCCGTCAGTGAAAGTCACCGACTCGAAATGTGAAGCAGCTCTGTTCAAGAGGAAAACGGTTTCACCCAGAAGCTGCCCGGCTCATTGTAACGCGCGCCCGGCGATCGTGGAATAGGAAATGATCACTTCCTGTCCGCGCGTAACCGCTGGCTTCCGTAAGATCCCGCTAAGAAAGTTTTGCGATTCGATTACCTTTGCACGGGAAGACACGCTTTCCACTGTCGGGTCAAGTTTAATTACTTGCGCGCTTTCTCGTTTGATTTTATTTTCAAATCTCTTCTCCGAACGCTGGAACTAGTCAGGGCTTACTTATAATTTAACCCTTCGCGGACGAAGATGCTTTCAAATATACAAAACCTTCAGCAGATGCAGCTTAATTATACATCAGTTGCTTAAATAGAAAAGAAAGGAAATTACGTGCCGACTTCTTGTTGTTCGAGTAACTGAAACATTTGTTTGCGACTTAGTCTTTCGGATGTAAAAATTTCATTTGCCGAAATGTCGACGTTCGTTCGCGAAGCGTTAAAGAGAGACGTTTTACCAAATTCCAAGCTATTCCCAGTGTTTATCTGTATAGATACGTCAATCATTTCAATGAGTTCTTACAGAGACAACTATGCAATTCGAATAATTGCGAAATAAACGGTCTAAACTGAGTCCGTTCGAGCTGCTCGGTAGTTCTAGCGTTAAAATGTTTCAAAGGCACTCTTGTCTTTAGTGGATCTGCTCAAATTGTAACTGGTTATCCGACATTCACGCCAATCTCCGATTAATCGATCGCGTATTCTGTTCTCGCGGTAATTCAACAACGCCCGAAGATGTTTTCCTTTGTTCGGAGAAGAGAGATCGCGCGGGATAGCCGGGAATTCCTCGCGAAAAGATAATGAGCGGAGGAAAAGCCAGCGGTTCCAGCTAGATACCTTTCACTGTTGACCTCTCGTTGTGCGTGCAACATCCGCGAGGAGAGAGACTGTTCGAAATGCCAGCGGTGTTACGCGTTTGAATTCGACGATAGCTGTGCAGCCATCGGGAGAACGTTGGTGTCCTTTGGCACAGCGACCCTTTGACAATCTTTCAACGCTAGAACTATCGAGTAGTCAAACCGATTATTCGCAATTTTGTTGTGCAAACTATAACTATATAGACTTATATCCATAGTCCACGTGTTACCGAAACAATTTATTCCGTTATTCCTAAGGAAATCGTTTGTATCTTTCCAATAATGGTAAAAGAAGAAATCCGAAATAGGTTATGTCCAATCAAATTCTAGCGTGTCTAGAAACTCTTCTTGTAAGAAACTGAATCATTCATCGAAGTTTCGAATGTTAGGAAAGGAGATCATCTTCATACCGACCTCTTTTCACTCGAATAATTAAGTTCATCGTTTCAAGCTTCTAGCTTTAGGCATCGGAGCGCAGAGTCGCCATTTTGTCGGCGGTCGTTCGGTAATGGCGGACGTATACGGAAACTCTCCGCTGGAAAAAGTAATCTGCTCGGTCTACTTAATGGAAAATGAATATTCTATAAGTGATCGTGTTTTATTTAATTTAGCTAATGAGTTATTGTCTTGTTACAGCGATATCCATGGCCGTTGGTGTCTGCGTTTATCCTCTCGGCTGGGACTCGACGATAATCCGAGCCGTTTGCGGCGCAGCTGCATCCAGGTATCGATTACACGCCAACACGATCCCCAACAAACACGTTCCAACACGAGAAGAATTAAATCCGAATCATGATTGCTCGAAGCGTTACCGAATAGAGCGATCCTATGCGAATTTAAATGAATTCTTTATTTATTTCGAATTCTTCATTTCGAATTCAGTCGATCGAGGTGTCCTAGTGCATTAAAAGTGCCAGTCTACTTGTAGAGCCAAATTAAGTTTATCTATCTACTTTACTTTCAATTATTTATTTCTATTTTCTTTATTGCCATACCCATTACAAATTACCAAAAATGTTCAAATTAAGTTTATGTATTCACTTCACTTCTGATTATTTATTTTTATTTTCCTTATTCCCACGCCTGTTATAAATCACCTTACCAACGTTTTCTAAAGGCAAGTTCTTTCGTTTCGATTACACGATTCCCTACGGGTTAATCGCAATACAAGTACCACGCGTAGGCTTGTTAAGGGTTAAACGACAGGTAAAAAGAAATAAATAAATTTTCCTTCGACAGGTACAATCCGGGGGCCTGCGCCGTTAGATGGGCGATACCGTTAGCAGCGATCGCGGCCCTCGACGCGGCCACCTTAGCCGCGCTTGCTTTCATTTTGGCGTCGAGACACGTCAGACTCCAGCCGGAGCCTTTCAACAATGGCTCCCTGTACAAAGGTACAATTCCCGATGAGAATAATTTTACCTTTCAACGCTACACCTATCACATAACTGAAAACCATCTATCTATATAACTTCTGTAAAAACATAATGGATGCTTCTCCAAGGAATCATCGAATCCTCCGCAGAACAAATCGAGAAAGTTGACGAAAGTTGAAGCTTACCAGCTGCAAGATTATTTTTTATTTCATTCTAACACATTTATATAGATGTTGCTATTAGAAATTATAAGCTACGACGTTATACGTAGGAACTCACTGACTCAGTTTCACTTTTCCGGAGGAGACCGTCACCGAAATAGTGGCAGCGAACGTTAACACTAGAACCAAGTCGACTTCAAAATTGTCCTATAAAAACCCCAAAAGTGCATCTATCACTCTCATCGCTTAAAACTTAGTTTGCGTATTGCCAAGGCAATGTCTTTCGAAATTTCTTAGAGAAGGATCTATCGTTTTCTCAATAATTGTAAAAGAAGAGTTTAGAAATTGGTCATTTTGAGCTATCTGGTAGTTCTAGTGTTAATCAATGCTTAGTAGATACAGTGCTCCGAATCGTCAGGCCAGTCACGTTGAAGAATCCTGATTTCTCTTGTGGTTTTCAGGCGAGGTGAATCCAGGATACGTGAACGAGGCGCAGAGCGTCGCTGGATCACGGAAGTCCTTGTCCCTGAGACCGGTGCTGTTGGTCGCGCCACCGGAACAGGACCGCTACAGCGAGCTGTCCAGAGCGAAGTCACATTCCCACCATAGTTTGTACACGCCCGCGCCCTCCCATCCGGCCCACACGATGTCCACGAACACTTTGAATCACTCCCAGCACAATTTCCAATTGTAGGATAATTGTTAGTGAACGACGTTAACGCTGCAGCCGATGGACAACGTCGGGAGCCGTGCTGGCTCGAAGCCTGGATCAATCCTTCGCGTTTCGAATCGAGTTACTCGCTGGTCAAAGTGGTCGACCCCGTTCTGATAACGCTAGGCTTACGTACATTTATTACGGTTCATCGTTCGTCGAAAAATTGACGGTCGTTCGTCTCGATCTTGGGAATTAGGGGTTTAACACGTTGAACGCCGTATGATTTCATAGAGCAAAATACACAAAATGGGGAAAGTGTAATATCGAATCGTTTCATTGTATTGCATTGTTATCAGTACGTGTTCATCTAGCTGAATGTCAGCACACTGTGTAGTATTATTCATAATATAAACATGCGTTTCCTAACGTGGGGGAATTTGATTTTTAAGCAATTCGAAATTCGAAGTATCACTTCATGTGTTCCACAATGTTTACGCGCGTAAACAAAATAGCAGAAATATTATAAATATTATAAAAATATTATAATGTAATACTAAAAATTATATATATACATAGGGGGCATAAGAGTTTTAGAAAGGCTCGAGTGGGGCATGGCACAAGAAAGGTTGGGAAACACTGAACTATAGTAATTCGATTCTGTTGAGGGTCACCGGTGACCCACGTCATTCAACGTGTTAAGAATAGACAATTGGGAAACGTACTCTTGTAATTGCATTAGTCAAAATCAACGTAAACATTTGGCAAGTAATATTTATAAAAGTCGATATACATTAAATTGACACATTAAGACTTAAATGAAATGATGTCTATTCGGATATTTTCTAATGTTAGTAACAATCGATCGGCTCTTTATACATTAAGTTTCTTAAATCTTTATCCTTGAGTTCTGTAAAAAGTTCACTTTGGCAAGTGGACGGCTCGATTGCGTTACGCTCACTTCTCACTGCCATTTCATTGACTGGAGAGTTCTTCAAGACTACTCGAATAACTGATGCGATCGCGAAACAGAAAACCGAAGGACGTTTCCTTCTCGGCAGTGCTCTCGTGAAAATGGTACTCAAAGGGTACCAAACAGCGCGCGAAGGATTCATTTAGGAATAATATGTTGCTCGTGAACCGAATGCATTTTCTTTGTTATCAAGAACTGTATCATCTATACTTGGTGAATTATAAATTATAATTACACAGCTGATTCACTTCTCGCCTATTAACAAGCTCGATTCACCGAGTTAGTCGCGTGTTGTACATAATGTTTTCTTGAACTCACAGGAGCGACCGGGAGTGTTGTACATAAGAGTTCTCGTAATCCTCATGTGTATCAGCGTTTTCTATTTTGTAATCGATTTCGTATGAATTAATACTCGTTGAGCGTTCGGAGACGGTGGCCCGCAGGAGACGTGCGCAATTGCGGCGTCGTCCTGCTGACGATAGTAAATTTCTTACTGATGTGTCGCGTGTATGTACATATGTTCACCGATCCTGTAAACCGACGCGTGTAAAGCACTTGACACGTTGATAGCCTCGAGAGTCTGGAATATTCGACGAACAGAAACATGTATGGATTATTTGCTACCATTTACTCTTACGTTACACTATCATCTAACCGTTTACTCTATTAAACGTTTTTATTCGACGAGAGTCGTCTCAGATATTCGAATTCTTCTCAAGCAATTTGGAAGTGCTGATCGTCAACGTGTCAACTGCTAATTAAGCCAACAGAACTACCGGATAGTTAAAAATATCACTTCGGATTTCTTTCAGATTATTAGAGAGATGCAAATGATTTTCTAACAAATTATCGAATAAATTGTTTTAGCAATGTATAGACTAGAACGTAAGTCAATCGGAATTTCAATAGACTCTTATAATTTGTAGAAAAGACATTATAGTCTATTCGGTAGTTCTGGGATTAATTCACCCTTATACACAAATGTTTACACGGTATCCATTCGTCGAAGTGATCATCTCCAATAATGAAAACGTGGGATCATTGATGACAATTATACATAGAATCGTCGAGTGTTTCAACATAAAAATTGAATAAAAATTCCAAAACTGGAGTTGGTCACTTTGACCACGATTTATACACCTCCTTATTGCTGTTTCCCCTTTTGTTCTCTCTTTTTTTTACTTTTATTATAAATATGTAATATAGAACGTTACTTTACAGAGAATGTTACCCAACGATAGAACATGAAACGCCAGACCTCGACCTTGCGTTTCACACGCGAAAAAAAACGTTGTCCCAATAAATGGAAATTAGTAAATTTTCAACTAAATATAGACAATTATATATGCTTCAAATAAATTCCGGTTATTGGATATTACGAATAAGCATCGCTAGAGTAAAACTCTGACCTATGTGTGATTGTTACTTAAATCGAGTGAGTTAAACGTTCGAAAGTTTGATATTTAATATTGAGCTTTACAGAATGCATCGATACGTGAAACGTTTCAATAAAATTACTTTAACGATCGCACGTAAGTTAAGGGACAAAGTTATTCTTTTGAAATATCTCACATATTTATAGATTACTCGAACCTTCATTCCTTGGGAAAGACTTTAAAATTTCGAATTAACCCTCTGTTGGCCCATGTAACTTTGAGGTTACACATCAGTGTATTGGCATCTTGTTGATTTATTTCGAATAAATTATTTTGAATAAAATTAAGTAATCAGTTAACTTAAACTTTCATACGCTCAGAGAAAGCTTAACGTCATTGTAACTTGAAAGTGACAAAATATATTCGTTCGATGAAATTATCTGTTGAATACATTGCCAACCCTTCGCACTCGAAAGTTTTTCACTCGAGATATTCAATACTTTCTAATTAGATGTAGACAAGATTCTTTAAAATGAACTTAACAAGAAATCATACGTAAATTCGGTGACAAAACTATTTTCTTTTAATATTTCACGTACTGATACAGTATACAAATATTAATGGTAAATACCAAAATTTATGGTAGTATAGTAGTCGCCTGTCGGGTGCAAAGGGTTAATTCGTATTCGTATGCGGATATTTATTAATTTTCTACTGCATAGATTTTGTTATAATCATGAAGAAAAATTCGGTCCACGGAGGGTTAAATGACAGTCGCCTGCCGAGCGCAAAGGTTTAACACGTTGACTGCCAAATAAACGCTCAATGAAACTCTCATACAAGCGGAACAGTTTTCTTAATAGAACGGAAAGCAAAAAGTCAAGATTCTTCGTAACAATTGTACTACTGTCACTTCTATATCCGAGAAAATTCATTGTTAAGTTGATGTATAGAACGCTGTCACGCGAATTCGGGTGACGCAGCAGTCAAAGTGTTAACAATCGAATTCTAACAGTCAAATCGAATGTATTCGTCATTCCCGATTCGTCGTTTCGGACAACGTTCGCCCAACGCTGCGCGCAAGCTTCTGGTCAACGTGTTTTGCCATTTGTCGCTATGGCTACGTTGCGACGAAGGCGAACGTACGCGCACCGAAGTCTGCGAATTCGGTGGATCATTTTCGTGCAGCGGAATGAACGACAAAGACGACAGCGCTTGGGTCTTCGACTCGTTGATCGGGTTCCTCCAGGGTCCGATCTGGTCCGCGCCCTTGATCACCTTCATAGAGGAGAAGTCGTTGAGTAAGTTCCATTCGTCGACGTACCAATACGAGCCGAGATGCTGTTTCACTCTTTCCGTCCGTTTACGTAATGATCGATTGATAACTGATAGCACGACTGCGGATTTTCTACGTTTCAATCTGAAACACGTTCACGCGAATTCTGATTTACGGGAGATCGAGAACTGTACGGATTCGAACGTCTATGGAGACTAACGCGTTAAATGCCGTGTCAGCCACCGATGACTGACGCTTCTGAATTGAAAACAATCGTGACGTACAAGAAATGCTTAATAACGTGACTAAGTCGATGATATTGTAATGCAAAGATTGTAAATAGTGAATAATTGTTGCTACTTTTCTTTGCTAGAAAGAATAACGGTGCAGAGAAATGGTCGAGATTTTGCGATTAACGTTGTTAAATTTTCTTCGAAACTGAATCTATCAGGAAGATTAGAGTCTCCCCTTTGTCAGGTTCACTTGGTTAACTTGAATTCGACGGATATTCGATTTTGCAAGCATTATTTCGTGAATGTACATTTGTGAATGAAACGAACTCGCCTTTGAATTGCCTTCGAAAAGAGGAATCGGAAGGGAAGGGTTTCAGGGTTTTCGATTATTCCGATCATTCGTCCTCGAAGAACTTATTGACTTACTTATTGAGTGATTCGATCAAGTATTCGAAGCGGACGTCGAGGACAACGATGAGTACCGTAAGATCTACCAGGAGTATAAGAACCTGGTGGACCTGTTACTCGGCTGTTTTATGGAGGACATGAGCATCACGCCGGAACAATTCGAGCACGCCTGCACTGTGAACAAATACACGAGGATGCCGATACAGTTCCAACAGGTAATCGTCGAAGAGTCGTCAACTGCCTCGAATCATCCTAGTTAGAGCTACAGGCAAAACTCACACTCTAGCGAATCAAATTCAAATTTTTACGAATCACCCCTTTGCAATTCGAATCTGTAGCGAATCATTCAACTATGGATCTTTATACAAATTCAAATGTTTACGAATCGCCCCTTTGCAATTCGAATCTTTGGCAAATCATTAAACTATGGAACTTTATGCAAATTCAAATTTATACGGACAAAATCACCGCTATCCGAATCTTTTTATAAAAATACGTTGCCAAGCTATTTATAAGGAACATAAAATCCAATAAAAAGTTTCTGCGAATTGCCTCGAAACGAACAATTGCATTGCACGCGCGTAACAACGAACTTCGTCAAAGATACCTGCGTATTTATCGCGCGTGTTTCAGAACCTGTTCGAGCAGATATGGGCGGCGAACGAGTACGAGATATTCAAGAGGATGATGACGCAGAAGAACCTGGAGCTGCAGCTGCAAGCGTTGAACATGATCGAGCAGAAGTACGGGCTGACGCCCGCGTCGCTGGTGTACGAAGCGGACGGATCGAGCGACGACACTTTGGTCATGGAAGAGATCATTCAGTAAGCTCTCTGAATACTCCCCCGAACCCGAGAAGTACAAAACAATGTAACAGGAAATTGAAATTCAATTATGTTCCGCCGAGACTGCGAAGAGCGCGATAACGCTACTTCGAATCGGTGAAAGTTGTCCGGTAAAGCTCGTTGCGTTTGCGGAGCATATGATTTTTGTTTTAATAATGTTACATACTTCAAATCGGTAAACAGAGGAGTTACACGTTCAAACTTAACCCTTTGCACTCGAGAATATTTTTCTCAACAAATATTCGTCACTTCTTTACGAGATATCAATATGTTTTACAACGTAGAGAAATACCTTGTAAAAATGAAGCGACAGAATTATTTTATTTCGAAGCAAAGGGAGATGAATTCTATACAAACAGTTAGATATTAGCTATTATATATATAATGCACGTTATATATTATATGTTATATATATTATAATATAATAAAATTTCTAATGAGAAGTTAATGTTCACACCATAATATGTACAAACAGATAAACTCCATATCATAACGTAACAGTACAAATTCACTGAAGTAACGTTCATTTTGTAATAAAGTTATTACTTGAAACGTGTCTATATTATTGTATCTATTAAAAGATAGGGAGAAAAAAAATTTCTTTTCAGTTTAAATAATATTGAAAATATAGTAAATACTGATATCTCGCTGTTCGAGGAATGAAATAATTTATCTGCGACTTCATATTGCAAATACTGCAAAGAAGTCTGCCGTAAAGGCTCTAATCTCGAATGGGTTAATGACGTTTTACATTGTGGTTCAATAATGAGTCATTAAGAAAAAGAAAACACGGGGGTGCAGATGTTTGGTCATTCTAGGCGCTGAACGGCTGATCTTGGCAAAAGTGATCCCTTCGATGTCGCAATGCAGTCATTGCGATTGGGGTCCTGAACTCATTGATCGTTTCTTTTATAGGAAACACGCTTTGGAGGATGATCCAGACGAAGATCGAGATTTATCGTCGGAAACCTCGCTGATCAAAGAACACGAACGCCTGGCGGAGAAGTACAACAACGAGAGAGCCTTATTGGAGGAAGCTTTAAAAGCCTCGCAGGAGGAGAAGAGTCCAGAGACTGATTCCCTGTCGCCACCGGCGGAGGAAGAGGAAGTGGAAGATGAACAACCGAAAATCATTGGGAAAATCGAAAGAACCACAACGCCTGCCTCGATTTCCCCGGACGAGTCGAAGCCGGAGGAACGAAACGTATATACTGTTCTCGAAAGATATTCTTGAAAATCTTCCTGGGAAAAAATAGGAACTCTGAACTGATAAAAACTTTTTTAACACGTTAAGAAAATCTTAAACATTTCATCGTAGGGTTCTTCTTTTGTAGCAAACAAGAGCAGGAACAATTATTGATTATTTAATGTTACAATGTGTGCATTACACTATTATCGACTTAGCCACGTTATTAAACTTTATCATTTCACATCGGTTCTCTTATATGTTACGATTGTTTTCTAGTCGTTTAGAAGCGTCGGTCACCGGTGACTGACATGGCACTTAACGTGTTAAAGGGAAATCTAGAGTTGCGTGCAATTTCAGGCTCGTATTGGTTTAACCCTTCACGAACGAGAAATCTTCGAAGTGCTCGAAACCTTTAACGAAGGAAGATAAATTGTATAGAAACAGTTAGATATTAGAGAAAGAGAACTGCACTCGTCTCTTGTTACGCGAGCAACTGAACTATCCGCTTGCAACTTTGTATTCCTATGTATAATAAAGAAAAGATTCTTCCTTCGCTAAAGGCTTCGAGCACTTCAAAGATTTCTCATTCGTGAAGGGTTAAACCGATATGAGCCTGAAATTGCACGCAACTCTAGATTTCCCTTTATAAAAGTTTTTAGAAGTTCAGAGTTTCTTTAAAATTCTGAACTTTTCTTGGGAACAAAGAAGCTCTTATTAGATTGTGGATTTTTAAGTAAACTCGAACTGTTAACCCTTTGCGGATGAAGATTCTTCGAAATATCAATTGCCTAATTAATAGAAAAAAACTACATGCTGATCTCTTGCTGTTCGACTAATTAGATCATTTGTTCACTGAAACTATTATACATTTGCGATTTGTAATTCTGTGCATTAGTAATATTTCTAGTAATTCATAATTTAATCATTCATGATCACGTAATGTTTCTGATAATTCGTAATTTAATAACTCGTGATTACGTAATATTTGTAATAATTCATAACTTAATAATTCATGGTTACGTAATATTTCTGAAAATATGTAATTTAATCATTCGTGATTACGTGATATTTGTAATGATTTATAATTCAATAATTCACGGTTGCGTAATATTTCTAATTCGTAATTCAATCTTTCATGATTACGTAATATTTCTAATAATTCATAATTTAATAACTCATGATCACGTAATATCTCGGATAATTCGTAATTCAATAACTCATGATTAGGTAATACTTCTAATCATTCATGAATAAATAATATATATTTAATATTTCAAATATATATCATTAATTAATAATCACGAAACATTGACACACTTTTAATCCTGTGCAATTCCGCGCTTCCAAATTGCCTGTAAACGCATGAAAATCCGCAGTCTAGTTACGCGCCTCGACACGGTGACCCAGTGACCGACTAACCGGTCAACCAATCTACCCAACAATGAGTGATTTTTTCTGTCAACCAAGCATGCGATCCTTCGTTAACCGTTTGAGTTGAGAAAGTCTTCGAAAAACAGTCTAGCAGGGAACGTGTTAAAGATAATGTTCTCGCCTGTCGCAGGTATCGGAGGAGGACATCAAGAAGAGGCAAGCCTACCTGAAGGCCAGAAGGGACAAACTGGTAGCCCTGAAGAAGGAGGCAAGGAGTCACAGGTTGGAGATGAACTCGACGAGGCCGAGTTCCGCCAGAACAGTCGCCGAGGCGACCATAAAAGGGGAACAAGAGCTAAATCTACCGGAACCCCTGGAACCGTCCATCCTCCAAGTGCGCAAAGCGCTGGCAGCTCGCCTCCAAGCGGAAGTAGTTCGCAATCAAACGAAATAATAACGACCCGACGAAACTGATCTATTCTAACACGTTGAATGCCGCACGATTTCACAAAGCAAAATACGCGAAGTTAAAAAAATAGAATATTAACACTAGTTTACGGTGAAATTGACGCATATTGGATTTTAGAAATACTATTTTGTAAATGTTTACGCCGATTTTGATTGATGACACTGACATGTACACCAGTTACCTATTATCGAATCTCCAGTTTCCACGATCTAAACAAACGAGCATCAATTCTTTTAGGAATAATAGAATGAAGTGTACAATAAATGCCCGTGAACCTAGTGTTAAATCATTTGATCGAATCGCATGATTATCACACGTTCATCTGGTTGCATGTCAAATTAGGTAGTGTTATTTATAATATAGAAATGTTTTCAAATAATCATCGTTCAATCGAGCGAACTACAGTAATTCGATTTTGTTGGGGGTCAACGGTGACCCCCGTGGCATTCAACGTGCTAAGCGGAACGATATCGTTTCACCGGGGCATAACAATAATAATAGGGTAATTCCCGGCGAGATGGCCCCTCGTTTCCATCGCCAAACGTCTATTTTTTACGATTGTACGCTGAATCTTGTATAGAGGCCTATTTAACCCCTTGAAATTTTGAACTGCGTTTGAGAAATCTGCGTGTTATTTGGTTTCTTTAAATATAAATTATTACTTTTCTATTGTCAATCGTTAACTTCTGGAGTGAACGTAGAGATAGAACGAGCATCGAAATTATTTCTTTTCCTAATTAGTTTCTACAATTATTAATGATAAGTGCAGTCGAAACTATTTTTTGATAAAGCAGAAAGTTAAGATTCTTTTCTGGTAGCTTCGATTGCCTGGTGTCTTCGTGCCTCATACATCCAAGAAAATTCAGTTCTATATGAAAATTAATGTTAAAGTTTATAGTGTGATATTAAGTTTATTTATCTGGCTTAGTGGCAGTCAAAGTGTTAACTGTTTTTCCTGTATGTTTGCTTTTATCAGTATAAATTATATATTATATATAATTAATATATATATATATTATATATATTATAATATATATAATATATTATATTATATATAAATATATATATTTCTATTTTTAGGTGTCAATGATATTTATGAAGTAGTGCTTTTAAAAGAGTGGGCCATCTCTCCCAGATTTACCGTATTCCTTAGAACATTACCAGGGTGATACAATAAACAAGTTGATCTCGTAGATTCTACATAGAACGCCTTAGAAATCAAAATCAGATGAATCAGAGCTGAAGGTCTATAAGAGTTGAATCTTATACAAGTCGTTTCATATTCCTCGTTGTTTGTAGCTTGTAGATGACTGTTAAGTCCCTCGCAATCCAGATTAATCATAATATAAAATAAAACGGATGGTAAACGAGTGAGGTGTCACATATTGTTTTCTTTAACACTAGAACTACCGAGTCATTCAATTAGATTCTTTCATTTTCCTATAGAAACTCCAATATTGTCTCTATTGAGATTTCAATCGATTTTAAATCAATTTCATTAGTCACTTCCCTACGAATCATCTGTTACTTTTCAATGGTTACAGAAGAATCTAGGAAAAGTCATTTCGACCATTCGGTAGTTCCAGTGTTAAACATAGGCGAATCGTTTTCGTTCAACCCTAGAACTTTCAGACCTGCTCGACCATTAAATCAACTACAGTAATCTAATTCCTTTTATTATTGTATCTGTACAAGTGTACAGAATTATCTTACAATTTCAGCATCACTCATAATTTCAATAATTGATAATTGTGTAGTAACAGTTTTCAAATGGTCTGATAGTTCTAGTGTTAACCCCTTGCCCTATGACATATCACTATACTTCTCTATATCATTATTACTATTTCACTACGTTAGTTCTTCTAAGTCAAAATTAAATATCTTTTCATCATCAATTGTAATACTTTAGAATGAATGTAAACATAAAAGAAGCATGAAATTTTATGAAAGCATAGTGCAAGGGGGTTGAAACCGATTCCTTTGTTTCAAGATCACCATAACAAGTTGACAGCGTGTCGGTGGAATGAAATCGAGATACAGGATAAAGTCCATCTTTATAATAAACATTTGCTATACAAATAAAGGAAACAGTTGGCCTACCAT